GCTGCAAAGCCCTCGTGTTCCCCAAGCAATTCAAGACCCAGCAGTACTACAACATCCTGAAGCAGATCTGTCCAGAGTTGGAGAAGGCCCAGCCAGGGGCCTTAAAGAGTCAGAGGTGGGGCTATCCCAGATGGAAAAGGGTACATCGTGTGGCATCCTGGCTTCCTCATTCCCTACCCACCCCCAGGATGGAGGCTGGTGTCTCTCTGGGCCCTCCCTCAGCCATCCTTCACCACCCTCCCTACCTCCAGGCTCCCAGATCTGACCACAGTCATCTCAGTGGATACCCCTCTGCCTGGGACACTGCTCCTGGATGAAGTGGTGGCAACTGGCAGCAAAGAGCAGCATCTGGCCCACCTCCATCACACCCAGCAGTTCCTGTCCTGTTATGACCCCGTCAACATCCAGTTCACTTCGGTAGGGCAGAAGTCTCCAGGCCCCAAGCTCAGGCTGGCATGCTATCCCCTACTTGCCCCTGTGACTCTTCCCTAAGAATAAGGACACAGCTAAGGAGGTCAGGAGTACAGACACTTCTCCTGCGGTTTGCCCTAGCTGTCCTCTCTGGCCTGGAAAACATCAGCAACTAGTTTCCTTGTCACATACCCCCCTCCCCTGCCCTTCTTGTCCGCAGCACAGGCAGATGTACTGTGCCACCACAGGTCCGAGCTGGTAGAGCCTGCCCCCTCATTTGGCAGATGAGGAAATCGGGGCCCAGAAGGGGAATTTGCTGCTGGGCCACAGAGTTCTCTGAACCACTTTACGAGTGGCATGAGGATAGAGACCTTATCTCTTGCATCTGCATCCTAACACCTGGCACCATGCAAGCACGTGGTAAACCTTTGTGAATGCATATTGAAAAAATGAATGGATCTGGGGCAACAGTCCCATTCTCCTGACTCCCGGTCTAGTGCTCTTTCCTGCAGTGGCCCAGGGAAGAAAGGAGATAGGGAGAAAGGGGCTAAGTGTCACCTGTTTGTCTTGTCAGGGGACGACAGGCAAAGTCAAGGGGGCTACCCTTTCCCATCACAACATTGTCAACAACTCCTACTTCCTAGGGAAGCGCCTGAAAATGGACCTGAAGGTGAGAGGATGCTGGTCTGGGATTACTGGAACCCTGCATGGGTGGGGGTGGGGCTTGCTGGGCTCCCCTGCTGGCTAAAGGAAGTAGCTTCTAGGGCTTCCGGCTCCTGTGTTGACCCAGCCTCCTGCTTCCATCTCCAGACGCCAGAGAAGTCACGGTTAGTCCTGCCCAGCCCCCTGTACCACTGTCTGGGTTCTGTGGCGGGCACAATGATGAGCGTGATGCATGGTGCCACCCTCATCGTGTCCTCTCCAACCTTTGATGGCAAGAAGGCGCTGGAGACCATCAGCCGAGAGAGGTGGGCATCAGTGGGCAGCTACCCGCAGGCTCATGAGACCCTCCTATTTCTCCCTCCTGGGCCTTGATCCCTCTCCAAGATGTCTCCTCCCTCCAGCCAGAAGAAATGGAAACAGAGTAGTGGGGCACCCAAGGAGAGCACCAGTTCCTTCTCCAGGACTTTCTCTTGCCTGTTCCCCACTGTTGTAGCCTTGGCCCTTACTGCAGGTTCAAGGTGGGGTGGGTGAGAAGAGGAAGTTCTCTTATACTTCCAAACCTGAATTTGAGATGCCACCTTCCCAACCCCCCTTATACAGAGGCAGCTTCCTGTATGGAACTCCCACAATGTTCGTGGATGTTTTGAACCAGCCTGACTTCTCCAGTTACGACATCTCAGCCATGTGTGGAGGTGGGAAGGGGCCAAGGGTGGCCAGGCAGGACTGGCCTGGGTGAGCTAGATGTACATCCAATCCTTTATTTAGGGGGCAAGAAGTTCACTGTAGAAACATGGGTGGGAGGGAGGCAAATCCCAAGCATCCCTGGACACCAGCCCAAGGCCAGCTGCCAGGTGTAGGAGTGGATCCAGGGTCAGGGGAGGGAGCAAATGTTCTACCCTAAAAAGAACTGCAGGCAAAGGGGGTCCACCGGGCCTGGAGGAGGGGGAAGCCATGTCAGCCCTCTCTTTGATTCAGCTGTGATTGGCGGGTCCCCTGCACCTTCAGAGCTGATCCGAGCCATCATCAAAAAGCTGAACGCACGGGAGCTGGTGGTGAGTGGTGGCCGGAGCTGGGGCTATGGGTGGGTGACAGGCCAGGACTGGGATGAGAACAGGTGGACGAAAGTGGGGATAAGCCCAGGCAAGATCTCCGGGGAAGATCCTCTCGGCCCACCCTCCTTCCAGAAATCAGATGTGAGAAAATGCAACCTGACCTCATCAGCAGCTGGCGAGTCATAGAGATAGGGAATGGGGGTAAATAGTATACATACATAAATTTATTTTCATAGAAATCTGGGGAAGACATGCAGCATGGAGAGAGATGCGGCAAAGCACCGGTGTCCTGCTAGAACATCCAGGCAGGGGGGAGCTGGCGGAGTTGGGGTATGGGCTTAAGACCCTTTCTGGAAACAAGGGGTGGGGGCAAGGATCTGATGTTGGTTTTCAAATGGCAGGGCAAGGGGAGCAGAGGGAAGGAGGATTCTGGAAGGTGGCCATCCTGATGCCCACCCAGTTCTGGTTTTAAAGGACTTGGGGGGAGTCTCAGAAACAGCTTCTCTGAGAGGAGCCAGGTGGAAGGGCCAGGCAGATGGAGACCTCACCGTCAGGTGGACCTGGGCTGGTGCTGGAGTGCCCGAGTCTCCCTGCCAGGACATGTCTAGGTGTGGACAGCTCTGTGCATCAGCAGAGGCTGTGGAAGAAGATGGGGGTCAGAGGTGGGAAGGTCAGTAGTTTCTCCGGCAGAAGGCAGAGGCCAGTCACCAGGACCGGCTGGGTCAGGATCTGCAGTGAGGCAAGAATCAGTGTCAGAACTCCAACAACCCAGGTCCTCCCCTCTTCTCCCTGCAAAATTGGAGAGTCTGCATGTCTCTCCGTGAGCAGGGAGGACCTGGGACACCCTCCTCACTTGCCAGTGTCTCCAGAGAGGGGAATGAGGGACATGCCTGCCTTGCTCCCACCTGTTTAATGGCGTCCAGCTTTCTTGGACCTCTTAGTGGGGAACTTGCAGCTGCGGAAGGCGTCTGTGTCACGGATGTGCTGGCCCTTGAACTTGGCGGGTGAGGCACAAGTTGCATCAGGACGAGAAGTCTTGGCTTCCAGCCACCTGGAAAAACAGAGAGATGCTAAGGGTGGAGAAGAGATGTGTGAGTACTAGAGGAGGGGACAGTGAGCCATGAGGCCAGGATTGCCTTGGCTCTAGGATAGTCTGGAACTGTCATCTTCATTTTATAAATATGCGAGCTTGCAGGGTCCCACACCTGTTAGGGAGCAGATCTAGGACACATGACAGATGTCTTAGTGCAGGGCAGTGTCTCCGCTGCATCAGAGGAAGGAGGGTTCTGGGGGTGGCATGGGGGTGCACTTACCTCCGGAGGCCACGGAGCTGGCAGGTACACTTCCAGGGGTTGTTGGTGAGAGTGAGGGTCTCCAGGTTGTCAAAGGGGAAGTTGGAAGGCAGCTGGTTCAGGCGGTTGTTTTCCAGATGGATGTGTTTTAGTGTGGTAACACCCAGGAAGGAAGCATCGGAGAACTGAGGGGCAAGGGGGGCATCAGTGAGCACCCCAGTCCCAGTGTCCAGCCTCTCTCAGCTCTATGGCCCCAGAGGGGCAGGATCCTTCCCTGGACACAAGCAGCAGCGCCTTGAGGAGTGTCACAGTGTGACTAAGTTGTCTCCAATGATTTAATCCACACAACCACATTTCGAGATAGCTGGTATTATTTCCAATGTGCAGATGGGGCCGGGGGAAAGTTAAGTCCCTTGTCCAGGGTCATACTAGGGAGTGAACAGTAGCTAAAGGACCACACCCAGCTCCTCTGCCCTGGCACAAAACTCCCTACACAAACACTGTGACTGCGAGGCCGCCGGAGTTCGGCTCCAGTGGCCCAAGCTGGCACATGGTAAACCTGATCAGTGTTTGGTGGGATGGGCAGTGGGCCCAGGCTTCCCACAGCCCCAGGGGCCTGGGACTTTTCCCCAGCTCTGTCCTCACTGTCTGCCAGAAGCTATTTGTGGAACCTCCTTGGTGGAGGCTTTGGCCAGGTTGGATGGCTCCAGAGGAAACATTCTATTGGTGCCCACATCTTGGCCCAGGCGTCACAGATCCTGCTTGGCCTCCCCTGGCCCAGATCAGCTCCTGCTTTCCTGCTCTGCTTCCCACTGAAAGGCTGCTCTGGCACTGGTGGGCTTAAGCTGGGGAGGGGCCAGACTGCAGAAGGGCAGGCTTGGACAGGCTCCATCCATGCAGACAAAGGTTGGCTGCCTTCCAGGTACGATTCTGCCCTCATCGCCATGCCAGTGGCGAGAAGGGGTATGAAGTTCTCTGGTAACCAGACTGTTCCGATGACCATCTCCCTCACCTTGTCCTGGTCCCTGCCCAAACCTCCTGGCCAAAGCCCTCATACCAGAACGATTTTTCCAGCCCCAAGGAGGGATTCTGTGCAGACCCAAGGCCGAGCACTGGGCATAAAAGGGGAGGAAGGACTAGATGAGGTTGCAGCCAGGAGATGGGTCTGGGGTGGGCAAAGGGCAGTCAGTGGTCTGTCTGTGGGACAGTGAGGTACAGCCAGTCTTCCCTGTGGGGAGACACCTGGCGACCTGTGCCAAAGATTGATACGAGTGTGTGGCTCTTGCCTTTGTCCCTTCATAGAGCTCATGGGTGCCATGTCTGCAACCCATGGAGGAGCCTCTGGGCCCTGGTCCCCACTCAGTTGAAATGGACCTGAGAATGCAGTGGAATGTGTATGTGGACTGCAGGGGTGGGGTGGGGCACCTACCATGGCCTCTGGGGGGCATAGAGGAGGTTTTCCTTTGGCATTTCCTCCCTGCTCACTCCCCAGCCCCCCACTCCACTAGAGCACACATGCACGCACCCCTCCAACCCCCCCGACCCTCCTCCAGGAACAGGGTCTCTTTGTGGACCTGATTCGCCTGGCTCCTCTGGAAGTCTCCTCAATAAACAAACCTTCCTTTATGGGGTAGTAGATTTACTGGAGACGGGGAAAAAAAAAGCAGAGGAGAGGCAGAAGGCCCGACAGGAAGAAGTGGCCGCTGCCCACAGCAGAGGGTTTGAGAGCACTGGAAATGCCTCCTAGGGGCCATTGGTGGGGCCAGGGTGGCCCCGGCTCTGTTTATAAGTAGGAATGCTAGGAGGGCAGTGGCTGAGACTAGGAACAGGGACAGCAGGGCAGGGATTAGGGTAGGATGTGACGAGACAGACAGCTAGCTCATCACCTCGGAGATAGCCAGAGGAACAGAGGCAATTTTAGAGAATGGCGCCCAGCTGTGGCCTTGGATCCCTGGGCTTCCAGGCTGAGAAGAAGGAGCCAAGACAGAGCTCTGCAGCCAGGAGCTCACCTTCTCCAGGTTGGTGTTGTCCAGCCAGAGGGTCTCCAGGTATCTGCCGAAAGACTGGAAGGCATTGTCGGGAATGCTCTTCAGGGGGTTGTGAGACAGCTTCAGCTCCTCCACCACCCGCAGCTTGCTCAGAGCCACTGAGGGGTAGCTAGACAGCTGGTTCCTGTCCAGATGGAACTTAGCGAGGTTCTCCACATCGTCCAGAACTCCGGGCTGCAAGGAGCTGAGTGCGTTTTCCGACAGGTAGAGCCAGCGCAGGTCCTTGGCGCCCTGGAAGGCGCCTGCACGCAGCTCGCGGATCTTGTTGTTGTTGAGCTGCAGGATGAAGAGGTTGACCAGCGGGGAAAGCAGTCCCCGGGGAAGCTCGGTCACCTTGTTGTGGTCCAGATAGAGGTAGGTGAGCTCGGTCAGGTCCTCGAAGGCACCGACACGCAGCACGCGGATGTCGTTGTGAGACAGGTACAGGTAGATGAGCTGCTTGAGGCCACGGAAGGCCCCGGCAGCCACCTCCCGGATCTGGCAGTGCTGCAGGTGCAGCGACACAAGGTTTGGCATGGCCCGGAACGAGTTGGTAGCCAGCACTGGGAAGTTGTTGCGCTGTAGGTTGAGCAGTTTGGTCTTCTCTGACACCTTGGGGATCTTCTGCAGCCCCACCTTGTCGCAGATGACGTGCTGCAGATCGCCGTGGCAGTGGCAGTTCTGGGGGCAGGCGGCCAGCGCCGGCAGCAGGCCGGCCAGGAGGCCAAGGCTGAGCAAGAGCGTGGGGTGGGCCATGGCCAGGATGCCTGGGGCCAGGCAGGGGGCAGCTGCACGACGGCAGCGGGGCGCGGGCAGCGGGAAGTCCTCGGCGCTCGGGTCTCCTGCCCTATTTATACGGTGGCCCTGACCACAACTAGCAGCCAGAGCCAGCTCCTACGTGGAGCATCGAGGCCACCGGGCTTAACTTCCTCCCGCCCAGAGATGCGCCCCCGCCCTAGACAGGGAGGCGGTGGGGCCCCTCCCCCAGCTGGCGACCTTGTAGGGGCTGGGACCGTGGCCCTCAGCCTTGTCCCCTGCTCTCAGATCCAGCTTCCCTGAAGACCCCTAGCTCCTTTCCGCATGCTTTTATTTATTTTGGCGGGGGCAGGGGAGGGGGCTGCGGTGAGGCGCGTGTCTAGAGCCCTGAGACTACACCGCAGAGAGGGAGGCGTTCCATGAAAGTATTTGTTTGCTCAAGATGGAGCCTCCAAGCTGCCCCCGCCCACCATTACACACTGGGCCGGGTGCCCTGGACCCGGGGAGGGAGGAAGCCGAGCCGGACAGCCGGACGCGAGTCTCGCCGCGGTTGGCCAGGCGGCGGCGCTTTAATGGGGCTCCTGTGCGGCGCCGGCCCTAGCGTGCTAGTCGCCCTGACGTCGGGCTCCCCCTTCCGGTAAGACACTCAGCCAGCCCCAAGGAGATACGAGCTCCTTCCCCACCCTTGGACTTGCCTCTGGCCCTTCTCTCCCAGCCCGAAGCTTGCTTGAGTTTCCCTTGCAACCACTCTCCCCTTTTCCCGTGGCTGAAGACTAACCAGAAAAGTGGGTGGCAGGGAAGGGAGTGACCCGCAGGCCTCGCAAACACATCCGAAGACCACAGGTACCAGAGTCAGGGCAACTGAACAACCATAGTCCCACCTCCCTCTTCTTTAATCTCCCTAAAATATCCCATCCCCTCATCCCCACCCCCAGTGGTCAGGACCCAACCCCGAGGGGTCTCTCAGGGTGGTGGCCAGAGTGGCGCCAAGATGTACTTGGCAGAGGCCACCCCTGGGCAGTGGCCCCAGGACTGGGAGGGTGGGTGAGGGGCCTGGGTCTTGGCTACAAGGGACAGTTCTGGACAGCTCAGGTCCTGTGGGCGGCCCCTGTCCCAGCCGACCAGGTCTCTGTGTGTCCACTTGCCAGTCACTGTGCCCAGATTCCTGTGGAAAAGGGAGGATGGGAAGTCAGGGTCTCAGCTCTGGGCTGCCTAGCAGGGAATGTCCTCTGTGTTGGGAGGTAGGTGATGAACCGGACCCCAGGTCTCACCAGACCACAGCTGTGCCTGAGCTATGCCAGCTGACACAGAGGAAATTGGAGGAGGGTGTGAAAGACAAAAGTCTAGTATCTTTGCTGACTGGTAGGGACCTAGAATACAGAGTAGCTAGTCCCTCTCCCCTCACCCAGTGCTCAGATGTGGAGGCCTGCCCTTCTCCTAAGCCCCTTTCACCCTAGATGAGGGATGCCTCTAAATGAGGGTCAGACTTGGCCTAGAACATTCCCTGATGGTATTTAGGCTCCTCCAAGGCTGGCTTCTGGTTTTCTATTGCTCAGGATATTCCAACCACTAGAAGTGGTGTGGGGGCAGGGAGGTACCACTGGCTTTTTAAAATCCTTGCTTTGGCTGTATTTTTATTTTGATGGAAATAAAATTTACAGGAAACTCTCCAGAGCTTGGGGGCACTCACCCCAATGCCAGGCACTTGTCCCAGGTTTCCGTGGATGGGGTGGGTAGGAGTAGGGGTGGGGGCTGTGTCTATGCGGCATCCAGATGGGCCAAGGCAGGCTGGCTTTCTCATTAAGTTTATGGGACCTTCCGCTTGGAAGGGAGGGGCAGGGGATGTTGTGGCCTGAAATCAGGAAATGGGGGGCGCTAAGGCAGCCTGGGATGGGGATAAGAAGGCTGGGCGTGGTTAACACTGGGAGCCACAGGCTGAGGGTTGTGGCTGCTCTAGGGAAACAGAGAGACTGAGAGCCTTGGCTAGAAGAGAATGGCTTCCCTGCTCCTAATTTTATTTCACAGCCGGGGCCCTTGCCAGTTGAGTTAGTCAGCTTAATGTCCCAGTGCCTCTGCCTCCTGACCCTTGACCTCTAACAACTGTGTCTCTTTCCCCACCATTCGGTTGCCCTCCACTTTCCCCGGAGTTCCTTTTATTCCCTCAGGGTAAGTCACCCCATCCCTCTGCAGTCCCCCAGCTCCCTCCAAACATCCTTTCTGGACCCTCTAGGTTCTTTATGGAACCACAGAGAACAGTCCTGTGACCTTCATGAATTTTCCCACGGACACTTTGGAGCAGAAGGCAGAAAGTGTGGGTAGAATCATGCCTCACACAGAGGTAAGCCCCACACCGGAATCCCTAGACCCCACCTCCCACAGACGCCTCTACCCTTCCCTGCTGCAGAGCTTTCCCTGGGCCTGTCTCGGGACTTTCTCCAGGGGCTGAGGCCTGAGGGGAAGAGCTGAGTGGTGGTCAAGGGCAGCCGCCAGCTGAACTTCTCCACAGCCTTCCTTCCTGTCTGAGGTGTGTTTTTGCCAAGCCCCACTGTCTGTTTCGGCGCAGCCAGGACAGCCTCAAAGAGGAGCCAGAGTACAGAGATGTTTCCTTTGCAGCGCTTTCTCTCCCATAGGCCTCCGATCCTCATTTCAGCAGAGTTCCACCTTTTGCTTGGTGTAAACACTGAATCTCCCACGCAGCCTGTCCCTTTGGGGGTCCCTTGTACCTGAAGGCTGACCCAGATCATCTCTCCCTCTCAAATTCTCAGCTGTGACTCCTTTCCTGCTCCAACACTGATGCTTTGTGCCAGCCTGCACCTGGTTTCCCCTTGCCCCCTTGTGCCTTTGCTTCTCAGGGTCACTGCCAGTGTGCCCAAGCAGCTGCTTCCCCTGGGGCCAACCACCATCCTGGTTCAGATTTTTCCTGTCTTCCTCCCTGGAGTGAGTGTGCATTAGCCCCCTCTCATGTGTCCAATAGCCTCACTGCCACTTTCTGTGGGATGCCTCACTATGAGGTAGATAGGGATCAGCTTAGTTCTCCCCATTTCACAGGTGCAGACACTGAGGCACACAGAGGCTAAGCCTGCCTTGCATGTTGGCTGCAGCTCATTTCTCCTCTAGGCTTTCAGGCTTTGCCTCTCTGCCGCCTCTCCTCTTCAAATGGCCCTGCCACATCACCCTCTTTGGCTTCTCTGTTTGCTGCTTGATAGGAAGAGGACACTCCCTTTTCTTTCACACAATTTGTAATTCTTCAGCCGGCCTGGTCCTCCACAGCCCTTCTCTGCAGCAGCTCCCATCCATTCCATTTCCTCAGCACCCCTGGCCTGGGCCTCACCTTGTTCTTGTGTGCCCAACTCAGAAGTCTGACTGACGATGAAATCACTCTAGTCTTTGTCTCCCTTCCCTGGCTCGAAATGGGCAGAGCCAGGGGGCCTTATTATTGGGAGGAGGTAAGGCAAAGCTCTCCCCCATTCCTGAGGGACCCCATCCCGAAGTGAGAGGGTGGGAGGCATTAGCCTGAAGCTGCCCTGTCCCAGGCCCAGATTGTGAATATGACGACGGGGAGGCTGGCAGAGCTGAATGAACCTGGAGAGCTGTGGATCCGAGGGTACTGCGTCATGCTGGGCTACTGGAACGAGTCCCAGAAGACTGAGGAAGCAATTAGCCAGGACAAGTGGTATAAGACAGGGTGAGAGGGCAGAGTGGGGCAGAGGTTTTAGCTGCTGAGGGGAGACTGGGGGTCCTGAGGCTGAGCTGGGAACATTAAACCAGAAGAGGGAAAACATGTGTGTCAGGATGGCCCCTTCACATCTTGGAGACTTAATTCCACATTGTGAAAAATGGGGATGTTCAGTCGGTACATAGGGCTTTGGGAGAATCAGACGCGGTACTGATGAGAGTGCCTAGGCAGTGTACTCCACCAGTGTCTGCAAAATTGGAGCCAAGATTCAGTCATTCATTTGTTAATTCAACAAATTTGTATGTACCTGCGATGTGCCAGCACTACTCTAGACACCAGTGGTCCAGTGGAAAGCAAAATGAGAAGGATCCTACTCTTACTTCCCACATGTCTGGAGACAGATACAAACAAGATAATTTCAGACATTGGTAAAAATGAAGAAAATAAAATACCATCAGAGGAGAGAAAGCGGCTGTCGTAGGGAGGGGAGCTTCTCTTAGATTGGGTGGTCAGAGAAGACTTCCTTAAGGTGGAAACGTTTGAGCTGAGACCTGAACTACAGAAAAGAAGCCAGCCGTGGAAAACATATGTATAGATATATTGACAGAGAGAATATGTTATAGGTATTGGTTTGCTTTTGTCTGCCTCCCCTGCTAGACTGTAAGTTCCAGAGATTATCTTGTTCATGCTGTATCGTCCAGAGTCTAGAGCAGGGCAAGGCACATAGGTGCTCAATAAATGTTTGATGAATGGGTGAGTGAGCCAGCCAGCTGAGGCCAGAGGCCATTCCTGGCTTTTCCTTGCAGAGACATCGCCACGATCGACGAGAAGGGCTTCTGCAGAATTGTGGGCCGCTCCAAAGATATGATCATCCGGGGTGGCGAGAACATCTACCCCGCAGAACTTGAGGACTTCTTTTACACACACCCGCAGGTGCAGCAAGTGCAGGTGAGGCACCCAGTCCAGGTAAGCACAGGTGATCCCCCAGGAGCAGGAAATGGGTGGGGATGGTGATGTCTGATATCTACCTGGGATACTCGAAGGTGGTGGGAGTGAAGGACTACCGGATGGGGGAGGAAATCTGTGCCTGCATTCAGCTGAAGCAGGGGGAGGAGACCACGCCTGAGGACATCAAGGCTTTCTGCAAAGGGAAGGTAGGAGCCTCAACTCACTACAAGCTGATGGTGTTTGGTTCTTCAACTTCCTTTCCCTGCCAACTACTCAGCCCACTGTCCCCTCACTCAACCCTATGACCCCTCCAACCCAACCTCATGCTTTATCTTCCTCTGGTCTGCAGATCGCCCACTTCAAGATCCCCCGATACATCGTGTTTGTCACCAGCTTCCCCGTTACTACCTCAGGAAAGGTATGTAAGGTGGAAGAGAGTAGGGAGGGGCAGGGTAGCCTGAGGCCCAGGTGCAGAAGGCCAGGAGGCCCCACCTCTGTCTCCCTCAGTGATGGGTAAGAGTCTGGCAGTAGAGTGACCAACCAGTCAGCTCATCCTGGTTTGTCCTGAACTTTCCCAGCTTTAGCCTAAGAAATTCCTCAGTCTCAGGCAAACCAAGACACTTGGTCACCCTAGCTGGCAGAGGCCCCAAGCCTGGCTCTCCTTTCTCTTTCCTCTAGATCATGAAATTCAAACTTCGTGAGCAGATGGAACAACGTCTAAACCTGTGAATAAAGGGGAGGAGTGTCCTCCAAGGCCCTCCCCGCCCTTCCCCCACATTCTCCTCCTCGGTCTGTGATTTGGCATAAAGAGCTGTTTTCTTCGGCTGGTCTCTTGCTGGTGTGCATTTTCTATTTAATGTAATCCCCACTCAATCCCTTTGAAATATCGATAGTCCAGTGGAGAGCAAAATGAGAAGGATCCTACTCTTACTTCCCACATGTAATCCTCACTCAGTCCCTGTGAAATATCAAAGGGACTGAGTGAGGATTTTTAAGACTATACTCATTTCTTTTTCACATTGTCAGATTAGTCCAACAAGACTACAAGTACAAAAAAAATACAAAAAGTATTCTTTTTTTATAACAGCTTTATTGAAATATAATTCACATACCATCCAATTCATCCATTTAAAATATACGATTCATTGATTTTTAGTATATTCACAGATATGTGCCACCATCATCAGTCAACTTTAAACATTTTCATCTTACAAAGAAACTCCATACTCTTTAGCTATCATCCCACATCTCCTTACTCCTCCATCTCCTCCTCGACCAACCCTATATATATATATTCCATTGATAAGCGTGGAGAAGCCAGATAAAGCAAGCTACAGCTTGACTCAAGAAATAAAAACAGCTCCTCCTGTTTGCGGTCCGTACCTCCCAGTGTGTCTGCCCCAGGAGCAACTGCGTTCTCTTTACCTTTTAGAAAATGAAGGTAAGTTTAGGAGATTCTGAGGCACTATGCTAGGTGCTTTCATATACATGCTCTCTTGAAATCTTCCCAACAAACTTGTCAAGTAGACATTAGCCCCATTTCACAAATGATGAAACGGAAACTCAGAGAGGTTTGGCGTCTTGCCCAAGGTCATGCAGCTGGAATTAGAACCCAGCTGTCTGATTCCAAAGCCCACAATCTTTCCACTTCATGGGACAGTTCAGGTGCCTGCTTTCTCAGCCCCTCACCAGATACTATCCATGACTCTCCTCCCAGCAGGAGCAGGGTAGGGGGAGGGAGGGTTGGCCTGTCTCCAGAGCAAGCAGCTTCCCCTGAGATTTTCTGCTCCTTCATTGTCTAAGTGCCCTCTCCTCCCATACTGACTCCACGGCCCTTGTAACGACTTCCCTACATCACAGAGCTGATTGGCCTGGTATCCACCACGTGCTGAATTAATATCTGTTGGCTACTGTCTCTTCTTGGTTTGACTCTCTCCTATCTTATGCACCTGTACTGTGACCTGGTCTTATGCAACTGGATTTCCCCAGCGCCTAGCTCTGTGCCAGGCACATAAAATGTGAAGGAGTTCAATGAACGATTAACGAATTCCTGGATGGGTCAGGGAACTGTCCCCTCAACTGGGTGCGAAAGGAGGGCCAGTGGCTCCACAACCTTCTGGCCACCAGCGAAAGGAAAGCCGGGCGGTTGCGGTGAGCGCATCGATGCCCGGCAGGTGGCGCCGCACA